TGAAAGAGGAAAAGATTTTAAAAAGTAGAACATGAAATAGGGTAAATAATGATGATGGACTAAGTGGAAGAAATGATTTGTGGGCTGTGACACCTAATGATGTGATTATTTCTTTTGTTCACTTTATGTGATTAACTATTTTGTTCTTTCAACATTTGTCAGTGTTTTAAAGGAGCAGGCCTGTAAGAGCAATACGGACAAAGCACGACGTAATGGAATGAAACGGCTCGCCGTGTGCAGACCATAGCAGCAGCTGCATTAACAAGGCTCTCTAGTAATGAGCTGGAGGGGGGGGGGGACACACGCATGAGTGGACACACTCACACATACATGTACACACACACACACACACACAACCATGTGCTGAGACATTATCAGCATGCTCTCATTTTGCCATTAGGTGTTTGTTACTATGGCAACAGTGTGATTTATTTCACAATTAAGAGTTACTGAACTTGCTCACTTACGGCCAGTAATACCAAGCTGCACATAAATTACCTTCAAGCGTAAAGCAGTCTGTTTGCTATTAAAAACAAAGGAATATCTCCATTTCTTATCTCCCAAACTAGTAAACTTCTGCATCAAGAGTTTTACTTCTTTGTGAGTTTATTCTACGACAACAAATATTCTTTCATAATTCGGTGTCACATCTAATTGGCAATTAATGTGCTCGCTAAAAAGGATGGAATTCAGCGGGCTTCACATCCAATAACGATCCCTTTCATCCATCGAGCTTAAGATGAAGATAAACAACGCACGGAGGGACGAGAGAGTCGGCAGGCAGGTGGGAATGTAATGGAATCAATTAGGCAAACACTCATGATTTACAGTTGTGTGAAAAAGTGTTTGCCCCCTTCCTGATTTCTTATTTATTTGCATGTTTGTCACACTTACATGTTTCAGATCATAAACTAATTTAAATATTAGACGAAGATAACAAGTAAACACAAAATGCAGTTTTTAAATGAAGGTTTTTATTGTTAAGGGGGAAAAAAAATCCAAACCTACATGGCCCTGTGTGAAAAAGTGATTGCCCCCCCCTGTTAAAACATAAATTAACTGTGGTTTATCACATCTTTGGAAAGCTGAGTTCAATTTCTCTAGCCACACCCAGGCCTGATTACTGCCACACCAATCAAGAAACCACTTAAATAGGACCTGCCTGACAAAGTGAGGTAGACCAAAAGATCCTCAAAAGCTAGACATCATGCTGCGATCCAAAGAAATTCAGGAACAAATGAGAAACAAAGTAATTGAGATCTATCAGTCTGGAAAAGGTTACAAAGCCATTTCTAAAGCTTTAGGACTCCAGCGAACCACAGTGAGAGCCATTATCCACAAATGGCGAAAACATGGAACAGTGGTGAACCTTCCCAGGAGTGGCCTGCCGACCAAAATTACCCCAAGAGCGCAGCGACGACTCATCCAAGAGGTCACAAAAGACCCCAGAACAACATCCAAAGAACTGCAGGCCTCACTTGCCTCAATTAAGGTCAGTGTTCATGACTCCACCATAAGAAAGAGACTGGGCAAAAATGGCCTGCATGGCAGAGTTCCAAGACGAAAACCACTGCTGAGCAAAAAGAACATAAAGGCTCGTCTCAGTTTTGCCAGAAAACATCTTGATGATCCCCAAGACTTTTGGGAAAATACTCTGTGGACTGACGAGACAAAAGTTGAACTTTTTGGAAGGTGTATGTCCCATTACATCTGGCGTAAAAGTAACTCGGCATTTCAGAAAAGGAACATCATACCAACAGTAAAATATGGTGGTGGTAGTGTGATGGTCTGGGGCTGTTTTGCTGCTTCAGGACCTGGAAGACTTGCTGTGGTAAATGGAACCATGAATTCTGCTGTCTACCAAAAAATCCTGAAGGAGAATGTCCGGCCATCTGTTCGTGACCTCAAGCTGAAGCGCACTTGGGTTCTGCAGCAGGACAATGATCCAAAACACACCAGCAAGTCCACCTCTGAATGGCTTAAGAAAAACAAAATGAAGACTTTGGAGTGGCCTAGTCAAAGTCCCGACCTGAATCCGATTGAGATGCTGTGGCATGACCTTAAAAAGGCGGTTCATGCTCGAAAACCCTCCAATGTGGCTGAATTACAACAATTCTGCAAAGAATTGTTGTAATTCTTACAGCGCTGTAAAAGACTCATTGCCAGTTATCGCAAACGCTTGATTGCAGTTGTTGCTGCTAAGGGTGGCCCAACCAGTTATTAGGTTTAGGGGACAATCACTTTTTCACACAGGGCCATGTAGGTTTGGATTTTTTTTCCCTTAATAATAAAAACCTTCATTTAAAAACTGCATTTTGTGTTTACTTGTGTTATCTTTGTCTAATATTTAAATTTGTTTGATGATCTGAAACATTTAAGTGTGACAAACATGCAAAAAAATAAGAAATCAGGAAGGGGGCAAACACTTTTTCACACAACTGTATATTCTGTGTCGATAACAAAGAAAGCTTAATTTACTTTCTTTCACGCTCTTACTGATATCATTTGTTTGTAATGTTTATGCAATGATAACATATGAATCCCATTCCCCTTTGAGACAAATGCATTGAGCAACAGTGTTTGGTGGGAGTGTATGTATGTGTGTATAAAGCAGAAGTAATAGTTATTATTTCTTACTGTAAAATATGAATGCATTTGAGCAATGACTCATAAACATAAAGGCAGTTTCTGTCTGTATCTGTTGGAGGAGATTGTACTTTCTGTGTGTAATTTGTCTTCATGTTGACCTGAACATGTCTTGCATGTCTATCAGTGTGTGGATGTGAGAAGGAAAGAGCTTTACAAACGTTTGTCAAGCATTCTTCCTTAATGAAAGCCCTCTGCTCTCCTCTCCCTCTCTCTTCTCCTCCTCACTGCAGTGTTTTTGAGAACTCGAACTCGTCTGGCCCTTATTAATGTCCCTGGCATTCGCTTGGCTCTGCGTCTCTCTTTTCCTCTCCCCAGCCTCTTACAGCTTCATCTGCACATGCCATCATCGTACACAGCTTCAACTGCAATTAGCTGTATCATCACACATTCACACACACCTATACACACACACACACACACACACACACACACACACACACACACACAGCATAAGTCCAGATCTTTGTTCATAGCACCACTCTTCCCATCCTTCACCCCTGCAGTGAACACACTGGAATGTCATATTCCTTCTATTGGGGCTTTTTTGTAAGTGTAATACTGACACAACACAGCTGTTGGTGTGTTTCCATATTTTTACGACTGGTTTTTGCCTCGGTCGTTGTGGAGAACAGATTGTTGATGAGGTTGCCTTCAGTTTATTTCTTTGGTGATTAGGTAAGATAAAGTCCCACGTAAACACTGATCAAAGTTTGCCTCTGTTTGTGCGATGTGGTATATTGGAAGGCAGCCACATTAGGATTGTGTACTGCACAGTGTTGATAAGTTCTATCTCTCTGTACAATCTGATACCGTTGTTTGGCCTGCAAAGGCTACGCATAGTCCCAGTATCTTACTAGCTTCAGTATGAATCTTTCATCTGCGTCTCTATCCCAGAATCCTTAAGATAAAGTCATTACCGTTTTCGCTTTTTCAATCTCTCCCTCTTTGCATGTTCCGAGATCACTCCTTTATCCCTCCCGTTCTATTTTTCATCACAATTTTATTCTCATTTCATACCCTCAAACACTCTTTAAACTTGGAAGAAATGAGACCAACGTCTCTTGGAGAGGAAAAAGAAACTAGGTCTAGGGTGATCTCCAGAAAGTTTCTGACAGGCAGAATCACCCTTAAGCTGGTGCTGAATGTTTCAGAGCAGGCTGGTCTCTTCTCTCTCTGAGGGGGATAAGACGGCTCTTGTGTCTGCTTGTCTGCCGGGGCTTTGGCGGAGGAGAGGCAGCTACCTGTTCTGCTCTCCCCTCTCATCTTTTCACACTAATTAGAGGGAGCTGGGTTTAAACCTTAGTGGGGACACACATCCTCTGACTGCACACAGGTGGGTGGGTACAGTCATGTATATTCATCAAAGTGTTTCATGAAGATCCTGTTTTACCCTTAATGTGTCCAGAAACATGTTTTTAGATCAACATTTTATTAATAGGAGACTGGTGAAGTACAATGTGCCAACTCCATGAGCGTGTGTGTGTGTGTGTGCATGTGAATAGTGTGCAGTGTGATGGCAAGGCACCGCAGGCGATCATAAGGAGGGGGCTTAAGCAGCGCGCTCTCTAGGCCTAATCACGCACGCATTTCAAAGGCGAGAATGCCAATTAAAAGTGATCGGGCTCACTGTGGGCTTTTGGGCTGCCACTGCGAGGAGCAACACATCAAATATGAAAATCGATCAGTTCCCCGGCTCCTGGTCAGGGGAAGCGGTTCAGGAGCTTCTGATAAATACACAGGCTCGACCGGGCGGTTTAGCAGGGGCAAGGGGGAAAGACTGGCAGGGTCATGGAGAGAAGACAGAGATTTGTGAGTCATCAATCATCATGTGTGTGTGTGTTGAGGATCAGAGGCCTGTGATCTCAACTTTACTCTAAAAGTAGGTGGAAGAGTAAGTGAGGGGGACTTTGATATTTGCTATATGAGGGGAATGAACTGCAGCGTGTCGGGATGAGTCAATTTAATATTCTATGCAGCTTACTACTGATTTAATTTGATTTGTCATTAAGAGTCCCAATCATACATGATTTGATATAATGAGAGGACGTATATATTCGCTGTCTTGCAGAGAGTTAGATGACGGGATAGATACACTCTCATGTCTAACTGGAGCTACAGGAACTTCACATTGTTACACTTTGATGCATCAGTACTAACCAGCTAATAATAATGTGACATTTCTCTGCAGAGAGAAAGTTCCCTTTGATACTTAAAATATATTAAGGTAACACTTGTATAATGTTTCTTAATTAGGAGTTTGAATGAAGGACTTTTACAAGTTATTTATTTATACGTTCTTTTACTTCAGTAACCTCCTCTAAATAACTTTCAGCAAGAAAGCAACAAATCATATTTTTAAAGTGAAGGTGCATTCATTTAATGCAGAGACATGAAACATAATCAACAATTACAGGTTAAATTTCATATATATGTAGCTAATATATAATGACGACTATAATAATTAAGTTTTTCTTTAATCCTGCATCAGAAAAACATTCACATTACAGTCATTTAGCTTTTATCCAAAGCGACTCTATCACATTCATACACCCCATACATGGGGTTCAGTTTCTCAAGGACACATCGACATGCGACTAGCGGAGCCGGGGTTCCAACCGCTGATCCTGATTGAAGGACGGCCCTGCTCTCCACTTAGCCACCGTCGCCAATTAAAATGACATGGAGTCACAAACAATTGCAGAGAAAAAAGCAATATACAAAGAACCACACTGCTGTGGTCTACCTCACTGGAGTGAAACGCACAGGCTGCACACGAGCACAATGTCAAAGCCAGCATTTCTTGCCACCATCCACAGTAGAAATGCTGTAGGTTACACTCTGCCGAGGCAAATTAAGGTGACGTCCAATACCTTGTGATGTGTGTGTGTGACCGTGTGGATGGAGATGTGTGTGTGAAGGCTGATATGCTCTGACAAGCTGATAACATATTTCTTGTCATATCGTTTGGCATCATTAACTAATAAAGATTGATTGCCCTTTGTTTCCCGTTAATGAATCTTTGTACTATTGCCCGGCCACTGTGGTGTGTGTGTGTGTGTGTGTGTGTGTGTGTGTGTGTGTGTGTGTGTGCGTGTGTGCGTGCGTGTGCGTGTGCAAAAGAAAGACAGAAGGAGAGAGACAAGGGAGTGTTTTTGAAAAGCTCAGGGCTTTCCTATCCACAGATCAGACACTGGTTGGATCCAACCTTCTCCCATGATGCTTTGCAGGCGGAAATTTTGGAAATACTCCAGGCGGTGGCTAAGAGATAGAGGGAGAATTTAATATAGGATGCGCAAAACTCTCACATACACACTTGCAGATTCAGACACACATATACTGCGTATCTAATTGTGAGAGTAATTACATAGCCAGTGGTTTGATAATAGTTGACTCATCTAAAAAGTGAAAGTTGGCCTGTTAATACTTTGGCATCCAAACTTATTTTGGTCCGGCTGCAAAATATTTGAAAAAGAATCGAAGGGGCAGTCCAACGGTTTCCCTCATAAAGATCAGTTTACTCATCGTGAGAAGTGTAGCTACGTCTGTGAAAACCTGCTGTACATTTCTGGCTCCATTCTCTGCTCTAAAATGGTTGAAAGACGAGAACATTTACCAACAAGGGGAAGTCTAACGAAAGAGACCGCAGCGTTGCATGAGGGGAAATGTAGGATCCATTGTTTTTGGAGCATGAGCCACACTAGGGACGGAAAGATGTGATATCTCCTCCTCTGCTGCTTTGATTTTGACCACTCTTTTATACATTTGTCTTTCACAATTCCCCCAACTTAAAAGAAAAGTGAAATACCAAATTCCTGGACTACCCCTTCACAACAAAACACTACAACTATAAATACTGTCTGTGTACATGACCTCACACAACTGAACTCATAAGAATCAGCAAACTCACAAGTTGGGTTTCTGGCCTTCCACTGTCTCCTCCTTGGGGATGGGGTACAGAGCCTCATAGCTACGCTTCTCTCCTGAGCCATGAATAGCGTAGGAGTTCATCTTGTTGATGTTGGGAGGTAAGTACGACCAGGGGAGCAGAGCCTCACCCATCCACCGGTCCCCTGTGATCGTGGCGTTAAACACCATGGGCAGTTGTTGCTGGAGAAAGAAGGCAACAAGACAACAATAAGAACTACTTAAAAACCTAACTCAGAGGAACGCTGGCCCGTTCAATAACTCCCTCAACGTCTGCCTACCTGGAAGGCTTGGCCAACTCCCGACAGCAATAATATCAGGTGCTGTCCATGTCTAAAATGAAAACACAGTTTGTATGTTTGTTTGATTTAACAAACATACGGTCACATGGATGTTACAACAGTTCAGCTCGGTACTTACGGACAAAACTCCACTTCCAGGTAGTTTTCTGTGGTACTGTCGAGGAAGAAGGACTCCACAACTGAAGAAGATAGACCATTGAATAATATATCTTGAGTTATAACTAAAGAATAACAGATACATATACTATATCAAGTAAGATATGAAGACAAGCGCACCGGCTAACAACATGCTCATTATATCCCTGGACTATAATGGGGTAATAAGTAACATTAATGAGGTCAACTATGTGGGGCTCATTAAGCGGAAATCGAACTTACTTTAGGTCAATTAGATAGGATTGTTATTACTCAACCTCGTTACAGGGTTTAACTGCTGTGTCACCATGATAATGATAATACAATCACTATTATGGCCTCATAAACAGAGGTAGTCCGTAGCCTCATTGGACTATAATCAGAATTGTATAACACCTTTCAGACTTGTCTAAAATTGCATCATACAGACTAAATCCCTAAATCATGACAGCAGTAACAACGTTATTGGGGGGTGGGAAGCATAACAGCAATACCTGTACAATATAATCCAACCTATTACAACAGGCCATACATGCAACCTTTGTCAAGTTTATAAACTTAAATCTTGACAAGAAAGCGAATAAACAGTTAAAAGATGTTGAACTATCTCATTACTAAGCAATGCACTCAAAGAACTTGATTAACATGATTACAATAAAGTTATACTATTAAAAAACCTTTTATGTTATCAAATTAACTTTATATGTGCCAATGCATCTTCAAATATTAATACTTTTTAAAAGAGACTTCTAGAATACTTTTTAAAGATTAAAGTTTTTTGCAATCACTTCATTTATGGCCATTCATTATGGATTTTCCCGTAAATCCTTCAAAGCTCTTGTTGCACGTCTAGGACGCGGTGTAGTGCACTACCACACACACAGCATCACCGGAGCTCCCACCTTCATAATCCCAGAGTCCAGGAAAGGGCTGACTGGGGGGAGCTGCAGGGGCTGCTGGGTCATTGAAGAAGGGACCAAACATCTCGATCTTCAGCCCTCCTTGCCCAGGAGAGAAATTGACCCTGATGGGGTCATGATTCACAGGATCGCTGTCCCAAGTGTGCTGGATGAAAAACTGCATTTGCCTAAAAGGACTGAAAGGAACAATTGAATCAAGAGTGAGAATCTGCTGTGCAGCATAATCACACGGTGGAGAAACACAAACTTACAGAGATTCACAGCAGAGCAGAATGTGGATAAGTGTCAGACACTGGAGAGCACCAACTACCCCCATGCTGCCAGAACTCCAGTAGTGTCAATTGTGCTCCAGCTGGGCTCTTTGTGTCTTGATATACACCCAGCTCTTTATGCAGTTTATTATCAAATTAGGTTATTGAGAAATGCAGTTCTGTTACTCAATAACTTGTCAAGATAGTAAAGTTGACTTCCTGATATGGAAAAAAAAACTTACATAGTGTCCTTGTAGTTTTAGATTAGACCTTTCAATTCTTAACAAATTAACAAACTATCGAGAGGACGTAGTTTAGAGATCATCAGAGATTCAGTAACGTGACCAAACACTTACATGTTGTAATCATGTGACCAGTTGGCCGAGAGCTGACGATATCGAGCAAATCTATATCTTATATCAATATTACCAGCAAAGCTCGAATGAAAACAATATCTATTTCCACTTGGTGGAAAAGTCCAACAAATACTCAAACTGAAACTAAAAGATCGGATTTCTTGAGTTGACTCAAACATACATCCGACTGAAGCTTCCTGACACAGCGTGGAACTGTTTCACCTTCCGGTCGTACACACGGAACTATTTCTGCGGTGCACATCTCCATCTCCATTGGCTGGTGTTTGTTTGCTTCAAAACGGACGGCGCAACCGAATAGTAACGTAAACAATCGTGGTTTTGTGGAGTTTGTTCTGTAACCGGCAAGTGACAACTTTCTTTGCTATGGTTTTGTTTTTAAGTTAGCCATTTGTTCAACAGACCATACGGTTAAGTTAGCAAGTTGTTGTTGTTTTAAGCTTAGCGTTAGCTGAGATTGATTAGCTCAGCTGATGCTAGCTGCGCAAGGTAACGTTGACGTGAATGCAAGCTACCTTATATTTACCCGCTTTGTGAATTCGTTAGCGGAGTGCATGTGTTTTGAGACACAGAACTTTTGCCTTGGAAACAGCAGTAGCATAACTAGTGCATCTGATTCTAAAATAACGTTAATGGTAAGCTTACATGATGACGTTAAGGGGAGACACACCACATCGTTTCTAACTTGCCAATGCAAACTGTTGTGATTGCATCTAGGCGGCGCCTTCACCATGGAAGCAGAAGTTGAGTTTTTACGTGATCAAGGTAAGGACACATCAGGGAGGTTTTCAAAATAGCCTAGTTTTGTGGCGAAACTTCAGCTCCGAATAGTAGACCAACGTGTGTGTGTGTGTGTGTGTGTGCTCGTCTGTTTTCAGTACACAGACTGAATTCTGCTCTCAGCCAGTATCAGTATGGACACCGCACTCAGTCGACACCTTCTCTGGTACGAAGACGTCTGTTAATAACTCGACAAAGTGACAACGTTTTGGCTCATTATTTGGTGTCTTCAGTGAACAACTTGTATTCAAATGACTTTTACTTTGTAGGGAAATGATTTGAAAAGATATAGCATATACATATGGGAATGTTGATGACTGAGGATTATTTAGAAGTAGAACTGAACACTCCATGATGCGAACTCTCAACGCCGGCATCTCTGCTCATCAGGCTGAGGAAGCAAGACGGGCAGACTCTCCTTCACCCTGGATCTCAGATAGAAGGTCCGGTGCAACAATTAAAAATCTTTCTTGTACGACAGTCAACATATTCTTGTTCCAAGTCAGAGTTATGAGGACAACAACCGTCTATGGATATGTGCGCACTGGATAGCAAGTACTTTTTCTTACACAAGTGGCATGATTATCCATCTGTGTTACAGTGTAATGGCTCCTCTGATAGCGGAGTATGATCGGCACATGGATGAAATGACTGAACAGCTGCAGAAATACCAGGTGACACAAATTCAGTTCGTACAGTGAAATTAAATATTGTACAAACATATTGAATATTGGTGCTTCATCTGGGAATATATACTGTTGATATAAGGTAATGGGATGAATTAGTATCGCTCTTGAAATGTGCTTAATTAAATAGTAGATAGCTCGGTGATCTCTTGATCTGACCCTACATCCTAGATCTGTGTTTACTTTAATGAGTCGTATATTTTTAGGGAAGCACCCTGATTATGAACACAAAATTCGGGAAAGCACAAATACGGAGATGGAAACAGCTTCTTCCTCTTCCCAGAGTCGGCCCTTACTATTTTGGGGGTAAACATGCCGTGATTGACACAGCTGTGCATCAGCCATTTGTCTTCAAAACCATCGTGGCCACAAGATAAAATGGACCATATTAAGGTGGCAACACGTTCCTTTCACCAGCTGGTTGTTTCATTTACGACTAACCGTTGAAAGTGATCGCTGTGTTTTATCTCCCACATTTTGCTGTAAACATTATTCCATGTATGTTTATTTGTACATTGACAACTGTTAATATTTGTTGCGTTAACAGAAAAGATCCAGCTCTTGTGTGTTGGAGGCGTTTCACCAGCTGAAGGATTCCACTTTCTAATAGTTTGACGTTCTTTATAAATGACAGGAAAGATTGTAGATCTGAGAAATCTCTCTTTGCTGAGAAGTTGAGCTCCACCATTCTGTAAGTTTTGCTTCACTATTGTGATTAAAGCTTAATGAAGTAATATACATTGTAAGTAATATAAATTGTAAGCCTCCTATTTTGACTAATGAAGTAAATTCTGGAGTTTCAAATATTCTTTTAAGCATTTTAATTTTAAGGTATAGTTCAGTATCTCCACCGTCGCCCCTCTAACCTGCTACAATAATATAATAATAACAACTCCTTTTTAAATGATTGTATTGTTTCTCCAAAGTGAAATGAATAAAGGCTTATTCATTTACAGATAAAAAGAGAGCGGGTAGGATAAACAAACTAGAGACACCACCTGTTCTGCTCTGACTAACAAGGACGAATCCCTTTGAAGCCACATATTGAATCATATTCCTGCATTCATTAAGACTTTTACAATTATTATTTCCAAGGTATTTAATAGTTTTTAAACTGGTGTATCACATGTTAAAGTTTCTCGTCTTGTACTGACAAAAGATTTCACTTTTTGAAACACTGGCTCTTCAGCCAGATGCTCGGAGAAGGACTCGTACTGATTGGTTGCTTGTCATCAGCGAGCTGATTTATTCTGATCGTCCTCTCAAACATTCCTGGACCTTGAAAATGATAACAATGTAAAATATGATTTGAGAGCAATTCAACTATAAGAGAAAGGAAGGGATAACTTGGGCAACCTTGGCAGACTGATCTGCAAAGTGAGAACGTTTTGGTGGTATTTGGAAACAGCATGACACATCTCTGCCTTCTTCATAGTGTTCTGACTAGTGATGGATGTCTTGGCAAAGCTAAGAGTTTGACTTTAATATGAACTGATGCTCCACTTTGTCGAATGCCTTATGAGAATCCCAAAACAAAGTTAAAGCATCTGATTCTGCGTATTCAGAGTCATCTATTAGTTCCTGAATAAGCTTCATTTATGATTTCTCTTTAACCGTTTCTTAAGCATCTGGCAAAGTAAGTGAGAGAATTTCACAGGCTATATTTAATAATGTTATTGGTTTCCAATTATCTATCAAAAGATCGTCTATCTGCTTTGAGGAGCAGTGTTGTAATATATGGAACATTCAGTCTTTTGCTTGTTCGACGTCCCCCAGTTAAAGTGTGATGGAGGTAACGTTCACACGGTTCATCAAACACAGCAGAGATGTAAAGTACAGTGTGAGGACGTGGCAAAATATTTCATGAATAATTATATGTCGACTTTAAATTCATTTGATGCTTTGAAAGTGGAAACATTGCATTGCCAACGCATATTATGTTCGACAATGCAACAGTTACCAGATTCAATGCAGCGTCGGGTAATAACTCCGCCCACGTCCGTTCTGCTGTCTGAATACAGACACCGAGACGCATCGTGTTGTTGGTTGAACAGATACGGTCTCTCTACACTGTAAAGACACTGATCTCTGATCATGTGTTAGTCAGGCATTACTTTTCAAACTATGATTTGTTCACAGGTGCCCTGAAGTGTACGAGGTTGTCTTAACTGATTCCTAACACGGTGTTGGTCTACTTGTTTATGTCGACAGGCGCTGATGTTGGATGTCAAAGTGAAGCTGGAGAGGGTCGTCAAGGAGAACGAAAGGTAGAAAAAGTTCCACTGGTTTTAAAGTTCAGAGAGTCGATACACAAGAGGAGATGAAACCCAGCTGTTCTGTCATGGCATGTACTCCTTAAAGAATGTAAGAAATGAACCGGCTGACTATCTATAATCATGATACAGTTGAGTGACTGGTTGTATTGTTTTGTGGTAACAGTGAGATAGTAGAAGAAGTAGAGTAATAATGCTACTCTAGTTGTTACTTCTTTCTTTATTGATAATCAAGGCATCGTGACCGTTCACGTTACAGACAAATAAAGTGTTCTCGGTCGGCTGTAATTAAGGTTGTGGCATTATATTTGAAATCTCATTAGTTTTTAATATCAACCCCTACCCTTGCCAGGCTCCATGCAGAGCTCAGGGAGTCTGTGGAGAAGCAGCTTCAGGACCTGCCGGTGGCTTCAGGAGTGGAGGGCAGCGTGCTGGCGGAGGAAGCAGTCGTCAGAAACCTCCACGAACAGGTCCAGCTGTGTGAACAGGTCAGCCTATGACTAGACATATACCGTATGTAGATTAAGGTCACACTGTCTCACTGGAAGTTAGATGAGAAGAACAATGTGTATGTGTGTTTATCTCTGTGCATTAAGTTGTTCTTTCAAGGTGTGTTATAAACGACACCATGTAACTGCTGTCAGGTATTTAGCTTGAATACTAAACTAACGCTGCAGGAGCACAAGTGGAGAAGAATCAGCACGGTGACCCAATAATGTGAGTAATTATTCACCTGATGTTTGGTCATACCCAGACAAAGGGAGGCTGTAATAGCAAAACCCCTAAATGCATTGAAATTCAACTTTTCATTTGTAAGACAAGAATGTGATTTTACTTCTTTCAAAAGCGAGTCTTGCTTTAAACATCTACGTTAGTCTCGCTTGGTACAAGAAGTGGAAGCAGAGGGAAACGCTCGTCCTAGCTCTGTCAAAGGTTCCCGACAACTTCAAACTGTCATATTTCCCTGTTGTTTCTTGAGTGTTTTAAATGTGTAGCAATAAAAAACAAGACATTGTGGTTTATTGAGTAGTTGACTCGTGCATTGGAGTTGTTAACTGCCAACAGCAACAACAGTTGGTCCCAGTGGCTCAACGCTGCACGGCCCTTTCATTTAGTGGTGACTCCCTGACAAGATGCATAACATACAAATAAGACCATTTTGGAGCAGTTCTCTTTTCCAGACGTTAGCTGTTTTCAGTACTCTTAGTG